AGGAGTGCATTTAGTCCAAGCCCCTGCTCAAAGCAGGACCAATGCACAGACAGATTTTTGCCCTATATCCCTAAGTGGCCCCCTCAAGGCTTGAACTAATGATCCTGGGTTTAGCAGGCCAATGCTCAAACCACTGAGCTATCCCTCTCCCCCCGGGGGCAGGCATTTGTTTGCATCTCTCAGCCCTGTTCCACTCACAGGCACTGGTGTCTGCCTCTCTTTGCTCCGACCCCCTCACAGGAGCTAGGTGTGTGTCTGCATGTCTGAACCCTGTGCCCCTCACAGGGGCTGGGCATGTGTCTGTGTCTATCAGCCCTGTTCCACTCACAGGGGCCAGGCCTGTGTCTTTATCCTTTGGCCCCATTCCCCTTACAGGGGCCGGGCGTGTGTCTGCATCTCTGATCCCGAGTCTACTCACAAGGGGCGGGGCACGTGTCTGTTTCTCTCAGCCCCGTTCCTTTCAAGGGGCCGGGCGTGTGTCTGTGTCTCTCGGGCCAATTCCACTCACAAGGGCTGTGCGTGTGTCTGCGTCTCTGATCCCCAGTCTACTCACAAGGGCCAGGCATATGTCTGTGTCTCTCGACCCAATTCCACTTACGGGGGCTGGGCATGTGTCTGTGTCTCTCAGCCCTGTGCCCCTCACAGGGGCCAGGCCTGTGTCTTTGTCCTTTGGCCCTGTTCCCTTCACAGAGGCTGGGTGTGGGTCTGCATCTCTTCGGTCCATTCCCCTCACAGGAGCCGGGCGTGTGTCTGCATCTCTCAGCCCTGTTAACTTCACTTGGGATGGGCATGCGTCTGCGTCTCTAGGCCCCATTCACCTCACAGGAGCTGGGCCTGTGTATGTATCTTTCTGCCCTGTGCCCCTCACAGGGGCCAGATGTGTGTCTTTGTCCTTTGGCCCTGTTGCCCTCACACGGGCCAGGTGTGTGTAAGCATCTCTCTGCCCCATTCCCTTCACAGCAGCCAGGTGTGTGTCCATGTCCTTCATCCCCGTTCCACTCATGTGGGCCGAGTGTGTGTCTGCGTCTCTCTGCCCCATTCCTCTTACAGGATCCAGGTTTGTTTCTGCGTCCCTTTGCTCCATTCCCCCTCACAGGAGCCAGGAGTGTGTCTGCATCTTTTAGTCCTTGTCCCCTCACAGGGGCCGTCCATGTGTCTGCATCTCTCATCCCTGTGCATCTCACAGGAGCTGGGCGTGTGTCTGCATCTTTCAGCCCTGTTCCCCTCACGTGGACCAGGTGTGTGTCTACATCTTTTTGCCGCATTCCCTTTACAGGGGTCGGGTGTGTGTCTGCGTCTCTCAGCCCCTTGGGCCAGGTGTGTCTCTGTGTCTTGGGCCCATTCCTCCAACAAGTAGGGCTGTGCGTAACTTGCAGTCCATTTCCCGCCATAGTGTTGCCATCTGTTTCAGGGCCTTGTGTGTGAATTAAACTGATCTATTCAGGGAAGAGGTTGGTTTCTGTATGGTGCGATACAGCTGTAAAATGGATACCCAACATTAATAACTGTTGTGTATAGGTTTACAGTATCATCCCTTTGAATAGTTTGTGGGCCCTTTAATAGTGATCAATATGTTCTGTGTTTCAGAAGCCACCAGAAACCAGCCAATTTTCACCTGAGCCTTGCACTTTGGGGTATATTTAGAAGACACAGTTGTTTGAGATCCTGCTTGCTAAAAGCTGTTATAAATTATTGAGAGTGATGGTTGATAGAACCCACAGAGATCCCCACCAATGAGCCATCCAGCGCCCAGGCTGAGGGTCTCATGGGAGTTGAGGGAAGAGGTTTCCCTCTCACATTTGTCCTTGGAGCTACCACTGAGGTGATCTGATGAGATGCCTTCCTTGGGCAGGAAGGGAAGGTGGAGCCCACCGGAGTCCATGGTGACATCTCTATGCTCACATACCAGTGTGAGTAATGGCAGATCATGAATGAGTCTGAGGCCAGGGTGATGAATGTTTTATACTCCTAAATTAAACTAGACAGGCACACACTGCCCAGATTACTTTCTGCTGGAAGATATAGAGCACCC